AGAATGATGTTTTAAAAGCGACCCTATGACCCATAGTCTGGTCTCTATGTTAGATGTATATACTGCGCTAATCAGAGAATACGAAGATCTTTTGGTAACAACTTTGACCTCCATATATCGTTACTTTGATAAATAAAAGCGCAATTGCGGGCTCCTTACGCGTATTGGGACCTCCACTCGAAAAAGACAGCGTATGGGTCTCTTATGCTACCCTAAATCTGCGCAATTCAGGTGGTCGCTTCAGTTAATAGAGATGCGGTCGCCGTCTAATCCGATTACCGCCCTTCTTAGTCCCTCTCAGGTCCTCTCAATTTCCTGAGCTTTGCAATGTTACCAAAGCCCGCATTTCATCTTTACCCCTAAAAGCGTTCAAAGAAAAAAAAAATCGACATCTAAATTTCCGTGTGTAAATTCCTAAGAATAAAGTAGTACTCATACAAACGATCTCCCTCTTTCCCCACCGTACAGATATGACCAAATAATCTCGCTACATATATAATACAATCTTTTGAGCCGTAGGCCCGGGGGATACTTCTTATATAAGCCATATGGGTATGTGCCGTCCCAAAGGGTAGGGTTTTTGTGCCGTTTTGGCCTGAAAACGGGTATGGACTTTGCCCACTTTGGTCTGGAATCGGGTATGGTTTTTGAGGGAACTACGGTAGGGGAGTATGAAAGAGTAATATGCCAATTTAAAATTGAATTAAGAATCTTTTTTGTTGGCGTTCTGATCCAAGAAAATATAACATAATTTCTTAGAGGCTAGGTCCGGAGAACAGGGCGGCACACCCCCACCAAGAATTTCCAGGGGCACCCCCCCGGGACCGTTGGCGTGCATTTTTCCGCATTATCAGTATGTGGTTTGGTTAAACCCTAAAAAATTCGCACAAGGTCTTAAGTGGATCTATATCGATTATTAACCTAACTAAACAGACTTAACTGTAAGGCGGCCAGAGATAATTCTCGTCTAATTTGACTCAAGAGTTAACTTGTTACAATAACGTCTGTTTCCGTATTAAACTTAAGATGCTTTTTCCCGTTTTTTTTTTCTACTCACAGATTAGGAACATTAAAGCGCTTCCGTTGTTGCGATTGTTAGCGCGAGCAAAGGTTTGGCAGAGTGCGGAGAATGGGAAGGAGACGCCTTGAATTTTAAAGCCGCGCGAATGGCGGCAAACCTTTCATACACGCAAAAACAATTCCGCCAGCTACACAGGCTGTTCTAACTCAAGTTTGAGGATAAGGGTGCTGAGGATTTGAAACCATGGCCATGTTTTTGGACTCACAAAATATCATGGCCTAAAATACTTTAAAATCTGTATATATAGGACCACAACCTCTGCTTACGACAAACTCGTATTAAACGTATCTCCTTTTCAGGGTAGAAAGGCCAAAAAGCCATGTCTTGAACATTAATTAGGAATATCCGTACAGTAGGCTAAATAAGGAGATTCCCTCGACTAATGTGTACAGTGGAAGCCCGTTAATGCGTCCACCGTTAGGCCACAAAATCGTGGTCGTAATAATGAGGTGGTCGCATTAAGGAGGTCTTTAAAACAATAGAATAACTCAGTGATTTTTACGTTTGGGTCGAAAGAATATGGTCGTAAAAAGAGGTGGTTGGGTGGTCTTAAGGCGGGCTTTTACCGTAACTTCCATATTTTATCATGGTGGTAGCTTTTGAATCTACAGTTTTGCAATCATATTCTTGAACTGATTAGTTGCTGATTATCCGGGTTAAAAAACCAAAGAAAACAGAACTATGGCTATCTAGTGAACGTTATGTAACCTGGGAGAACACACTGATCGCAAATTACGGAAGGCAGAAAAAAAATAAACAAATGTATCTTGGCAATCTTCGCTGTGGCATAGAAAAGTGCGCGCTAGGTTTTTACGCTGCAGCCAACTGCGTACCATTGGGTAGCCTGTGTTTTCTTTATGAATACGCGCGCTATGATTCCCCCTCCTCCCTCCTGTTTCTTGCCTTTCCCTTCAATGGTCTGCCACGCGGGCTAGCCATTGGTGGTTTTGTATTTTCTGGTCTTGAATAAAGTATATGAATCAACCACTTTGTCAACACGGGAAAGGTTGTGTATGAATGTCCCCGCAACGAATTCTTGGAAAAAGGTAGATCATAGTATCAGTAGTATTAATGGAGAAACAGCGACATAACATTTTAAAGGGCCCCATAGACGCCCCTAGAGGTCCTAGAGTTGGTTCCTTGCTGACGTACGAGAAGAAATAATGATTTCCGTTACCGGCGAGAAAGCGAAACTCATGGCATGCTCAAACTTTATTTTCTTTTTTCTCGTCATCTGGTTTACATATGTATATTTCGCATAATTTTGTCACTCCGTACTCTGTATCTTGCAGATATGCAAACAGATTCTTCCCTTTTTGCGCACAATGCTTAATATGATTTCACTTGCGGCGCCAAAAATAATTTCAAGGATAATTGCTCAATCAAGATGACTCGACATATGACCGACGACGCAAACTAACTGTTCTAAGGGACGGACCATTAGAAAACTTATCGGGGGGGGGGGGGGGGGGGGGGGAAACATCAGCGACCGACAGTAGAGCTCGTAGGCGTGATAGTCGAGGCTCCGGTGGAGGGAGGGCGCGTGGCGAGCGTGCTGAGCTGCGGGGTGGTCAGTGGGGGGGGGGGGGGGGAGGTGGATGGGAGCGAAGTACAAAAAAAAAAATTCTCGCAAGGGAAAATTAAATGAAAAAAAATTCTTGCACGCCAATTAACCATAAAAAATATTCATGCTATATGGCGTAAAAAAAAATTCATACAAGGAATTTGATAACGAAAAAAAATTCCTGCGGCTCGAAAATTCCCCTCCCCCCCATAACTTTTCTAATGGTCCGTCCCTAATAGTCCCTAAAAGTTAGCATGTATACAGGTCAAGTTACCTCACACGGTGGGGTAAACGTATAAACGACAGGTGTTAATGGCTCTTCTTAAATACCTTACACGTGTCTTATTTCAGATGAAATGTGCCGTTTATACGGGACCGTTTGCATCTTATTTAGGAGGTAATTTTTCCTCATATAAATGGCCCTAATGTCGCATAGCCTGTTTATAGCCGTCCCTCGCCTCAAACAAAATCAGGGAGAAAGACACCTGTGTCGTCTGTGCTCTGGTTTCCTCGGAATGTCAGTGAAAGCCTCTTATTGGTTGTTATATTAATACCGTGACATAAGTAATTTCCGGTGTTATGACTGGTGAATGATCTTGCCAATTTTTGTCAAAAATTATAAGCGGGATGTAGGGTTAAAATTTCCGGAAGGACGATTATTTTGCTTATTCCTGGTATATTTAAGACATCCGAGCAGATGAACTGATGCGACAAGTGTTAAGTGGAATAGGAAATAAGATAATGGGTGCAGACTAAACAAATGTTGCATAACCTCGTCCACCTCATATCACGCGATTTGAAACTTGAAAATACTTGTGCGATTTGAGCTCTTCATATCTACTGAGAGATCACTAAGAACAATAAGGTAGTTAACGAATTTTAGCTTTTACGAGCTAACCAATGTTTGCGAGGGAGTTACAGGTGACCAAGCCGAGAGCGTGAGGAAACATTTCGCGACGCCGGCCGGCTTTTTACAACGAAGATGATTATGTAATACGCCCGAGTCAAGAACTGTAAAAACAAAAACAAAAACAAAACAAAAAAAAAACACGCTCCGACACCCAGGGGCGATTGGCAGAAATACTTAAAGACGTTCGCGTGAAAACGTTATTACAGTTGAACCTCTCTACATCGGCCACCTTGGCCTTGGGGACAGAAATAAGTGGCCGTTGTCAAGAGGTCGCCGTTGTAGTCAATGTATGGATGTTTTGTCTGCCGGGACGAAAAAAGTGGCCGTTGTAGAGAGATGGCCGTTAGGTTCGGATATGACTCTTTAAGAAACCGAGTAATTGGTAATGGCTGCAAAAAAAGGGCTCATCGAAGTCGTTGCGTGGGGTAATGTGTCTCAACAGCGAAAGATCACCCAAATAGTTCTCACTCAACTGGGGTTGATCCAGGAACTTTTGATCGGGGGGTCCAAACTTTGGTTCAGAAAGGACTGTTGAACTTTTTTGAGGCAAATTACTTCTCCCCATACCCCCTCACACCAGCCACGGTTGCACGTTATAAATCCTTGGCCCCTTACGTGTACTTGAATTTTTTGGGGTCATAATTGTCGACCAGCTGAGAAAGTAGAGACGACCACGTGTTTCTCAATCTGTGAACGCCGGTCGCCAATGGCGCGGGAAATACTGCTTCGCGACCAGAGGCGAACAGATCATAGGAGGATACCAAAAATAATTACATTTCTGAATATCCTTGGAAATTAGTTTAGCGCCGCTTAGAATGCATTTCTAGACATCTAAAAGTACCCTGAATAGCCTAAAAAGTGTTATCAGTGCATTGAGGAGGAAACGGACCTGGGGGTGCCCCTGGTATATGAAAGGGTAAGAGTTTCACAAGTTGAAGTATATGAAAGGTAGAGAAATCCGTCATTTCGGTTTATAAGAAGTCCCAAGAGGGCTTACAGACACATTTTATGGCTGTGAAAAAGTCGACAAATTATAACGTATTGGTTTTGTGATTTATTTATACTAGCAGTTAAAAGGAATGCAAAGTTCTCAACTAGGTTTGTGAAAGGGGTACCATTTGTCAATGAAGGTATACCGGGTACCTTTTTCTGTCAGAAATGGTATATAAAAGGAAAAATGCCCGCCCCCCACGAAAAACACTTTGTTGACCGTTCTTCAAAAAATGTACGGGGGCAATTTCAAGAAACTCAGAAATAAGACCTTAAAAGTTATAAAACTAGAACCTTACAAGAGATTCGCGGTCTGATAGAAAGCCAGTGGAGCCCTTGCAATTATAGAAACATCTCACCGCTGCGTAAATTTGTGTCTAATTGCATCTAAAAACTGTTACATGGCATATTTTGACCCACTTTCCTGCGCAACTTCGAAATTAATAAGTAGACATATCTCCAAAACTACCCCATGGTGCAATTCGACACAACGCTGGCCAGTCTTGTCTCACCCGCGAACTTGAAATGGTTGATACCAACACAGCAACAACAGGGCAATTGCACGACGAGGTCATTTTATTACTAAGACCAGAATCCTTCAGGGTTGTGCTTTAAACGATTAAACCACAATTTACATCATAACAGTTAACGAAAAGGTCAACGTTTTTCCATGAACACCTCTGAAAATTACACTGCCATTTAATAACAACGAGGACTCTTGGAACCGGAGGGCGAGACAACACCTGAAACTTTGCTAGGTGTTTACGTAAGTAAAACCAGTTCAAACAGGGAACAATTAATGCTAACAAATTCTTAAAATATATCTTCACCTTGCTCACCGTCCGAGATCCACTCGCATAGCTCTCCACGAAAAGCCGATATAAAAGGCAGGGGATTCTATGTCAATATAACCAGTGGGTAGTTGTTGAATGAAGCACCCACGTATTAATCGACATCATAGATCATTATTGCCCCAAGTGAGAGGTAAGTGTTAATGTTAGCTTAGGGGAGAGGTAGGTGGGCAGTTTGGTAGATAATTCACATTGTATTGTATCTGTCGTGGCTACTATGAGCAGGAATCATGGGTAATAGAGACAATCCCATGCAGTAAACAATCGGCGACAAAAAGACGACACTTCAGATGACAAAAGAGTCCACACCCCTCTCACCCCCCACCCCCCCTCCCTCCAGTCAAAGATGGGGTGTTTATCGTTTCTTTCCTACGGCTAGCTCTAACAGCGGCACAATATTGCATGGCGGGAATGGGAGAGGGAGAGCTTCATTTTCCTCTTTGAAAGTCGGCAAAACGTTAGAAAGGTTCCTAATAAAAGGCGGAGTGTCTTAACTTTTGTCGCCAATTGAAGCTCAATTCATTTAAACTTAAGACGAAGAAACCGCTTTAACAGAGTCGCTACTGGGATCAGTTTTCAAAACGGTCTCTTTCTTTTGTTCCGATTGGGCGGTCACAGGCGCTTGCTTCACAGTCCCCGTTTCTGCCACTGAAACCAACTGCGTAGCACTCCTTACTGTAGAGCTCGTAGGGACAGTGGTATTAACAGAACCACTAGTCGCTCTTATCGCCCCTCCTACTGTTGACCCAAGTGGTGATGGTACCACTTCGGTTGCTGAAACTGTCGTGGTGGACAAAACATAAGTAGGTTGTGCCGTTTTACGTGCACCTTGTGCATACGCCACAGGATTACCAACCGCTTTAGCGGTTACAGTTGTTGTTCCATGCTGACTACTGGCAACGAGAACAGGAGAAGATATTACCTTGCCTGACTGATTGGTTCCTGTTCTGGCGACCGTAACCGCAGTTTGAAGACTCGCTAATGAGCCAGACGCAAGGTTCGTAACCCTGTTTGCCGTGGGTCTCTGTACGGAGGTGACCATTTGGCTCGGAACGGTAGCCGTCCGAGTGCTCTGCACGAGAGTGACTCGACCACCGGACTGTGACACTGTGGTGTTACCAGGTAGTTTTCCAGCTAATGCAGCAAGGCTTACAGGCAGCGAGGTGACAATGCTGCCAGGGACACTGGCGCCTTTGTGAGTGACCTGCACCTGCGAGCCACTGGAGGACGGTCGGACAGGATGGCTAAGAACGACTTGAGCGGATTGACCACCAGTCATTGCAGTGTTGGTTCCAGTCGGTACAGCAGTCTGCAAAGCCGAACCACTGACAAGCTTGTAAGATCCCTTTAGACCAGCTGACGATAGCGCCTGAGAAACCATCAGCTTATTACCGTCCTTGGTTAGAACACTGATGGTTGACGGCTGTGTTGTTTCGCCCGCCACTCGAGTAAATGTTTGTCGGCCGGAAGTCAGGACAGCCGATGACGCAGGAAATTTCCCAAAGGAGGAAGATGTAGTTAGAGAAGCAGCAGCAGCAGACGCTGGAACGATACTAGACGCAAAGGACGGTGCCTGCGTTGTTACAGCAGTACCTTTGAGGCTCATTACAGAAGTAAAGGACGAACTAGCGGATTGGGATAGAGGTGTTTGCCTAACTGGCGCCGATACGATGGTCCTCACGGGTATCTGAGCACCGGAGGGCACAACAGCCCCTTGTGCTGACAAAGAGGCACTGACAGCACTCAGGGACACAGGGGCGTGTCGCTGACTCTGAGGTTTAATTATGTATTGCACAGTCTGCCCACCCGCGGTATTTGACGACAAAACGGAGGGAGAGCTCCCACGCGGGATGGTGATCAGGGTCTGTGTGACCCTGGCTCCGGGGTCCGAACTCTTCGGGGTTAGCGAAATAAAGGTCTGTCCTCGGCCAGCGGACGCAAGCGCGGCGGCAGAGGCACCTTGTAGGGGTACCTGACGTGCCACAGTACCACCATGAAGCGGAAAACCAGGCAAGGTCCCCGGATGCACGGGAATTCCTTGAGGTACACTGCTGACAACACTTGCAGGTGCAGCTCCAGTCACGTGAATTATGCCCGGAGGCGGGTTTGCTGTTTTTGTCTTCGACTTGGACGTCCTTGGTCTTTTGGCAGGACTAGGCTGGCTAAGCGCAAGCCCTCCCCGACTTAACGCCCCCATAGTGTTGCCGAGCGGAAGTTTCAACATCGTTTTGCCCTGTTCTTGAACCGAGCTCTTTTGAGGAGTCGACTTCTTCGCCGATGGCTGTGACGTCAGCGCATGCTTACCCACAGAGCGCTCCATTTCCGAGCTCAAATCGCGAGACACGGACCGCTTTCTTTTCTTTTTGCGTACGTCGGCTTCATCCACATCCGAGGAATCGTTTCTGTTGTGTACACTGCTGCTGTTCATGCAGGTTAACACATTCCCTAAAAAGTCACCAATTTCATCCTAAAGACAAAGAAAGCAGACAAAATAACTCAATGGTCTGTTAAACAAACGAAGACAAATCTTCTCCACACCAAAAACGAAACATATTCATACCATGATCAACCGATCGACCATACTCTGAGTCAGGCCTTCTTGTTTCTTCTTAGCACGAGTCAAACGTAGCTAAAATGTAAAAGAATGAGATCCATTTAATCTCCAATCCTTGAACAGCTAACTATACCTATTTATCCTGTACCAGGAATAAAAATTCTCAAGAGCAATAAAGGAAAATATGTTTATCTGTCAACATTGTTAAGTACTATACTAATACGCACGTAATAACTGACGACACTGTTCTTGCGTCTGTTGGTGAACCGGCGTTCTGCGGGGACGCCCCTTTAGGTCACAGGGCTCTCTACACATTACCTCAGTTTTGTCTTTCTCGCAGAGCACTTAGTTGCCGATCTATGGTTCGTTTTTTCTGTGCATCTTTGCGGATTCCTCTTGCCCTACCTGCCCATCCCCCAAGGTTGGTCTGTTCGTGCAGGTGAGTATCCGATCAGGTGACTCTATTTCACTAGATCAGGTTCGCGTGTGCTTGTTAGTCGGAAGCTTAAGCAACAACGACGGCCACGGCTACGAAAACGTCCCCAAAAAAGTGAAATCGTGTTGCATCAAACTTTATCGCGCTTATTCCACCTCGTTCAATTCATCAAATGTTGGCAATCTCTTCTGGAGCTGAAATTTCTGAAAGACTGTATTGAAGTGCAGGAAAGGAGAAAGAAAGTCGTTGTGTTTACGTTCTCCACAAAACGTGAAATCAGATTAGGCATTTTCGCGTCGTAGTCGTGCGGTGACGGCAAAAAATGTACAATAAAGTGCAGATTGTTGCTGTTTTGCTAATCTAAACCTATTGCTTTTTTGCCGTTCTTGATGACGTCGCCGTCGTCGTTGCTTAAGCTTCCTAGTGGCTGCAACAGGGGTGGTTCCCGCTTGCAGGGTTGCTATGGATACCTCTCTACATTGTGATGCCTGGGTTATTGCAGGCCCCACACCGCTAACTTTGGATCATTATAAGTTTCTGAGAAACTGCCCACCTACCCCTCCCCAAAGTCAATATTTTCCTTTAGTGAGAAGTAAGTGTTAGTGTTCGCTTAGGGTAGGGGTACGTATAATGATCCCTAACTCTTAAGGCACCGGTTTCCAAGGTCATTGATTGGTAATGACTTTAATTTTAACATAGGAACTTTCGAAGAACAAGCCGCAAGAAAGATTCATCCAGAACTGACCTGTTCATCGGCTCCACCCACCACCAACAAACTTGTGTCCGTCTTCATCTTCTCACGCATCTCCTGCATAGAAGAAAAGAACACCGAGAAGGAACGTCAACTAAACTACTTTTACAGTCAAGGAGATGTGTACAGAAAGAGTGGCAGTCAAGGAGATGTGTACAGAAACAGTGGTGAAGAAAAGAAACAGAAACAGTTTGCTGAAGTGGACTTAAATCGAAGGCGCAAAGTTCAAAGCTGAATCTCTGCGGAAGCCTAAAAAGTAAGCGCCACAACAGCAAAATATTATGTTGGCTTCACACTAGTGTTTGTAAGCATAACTGATTTAAGTACTCTTGGGATCTACTTTGAGTGTGAAGGGGTTAAACTGTACATACTTGAACTTGACTTGAGAACTGGTTTAAAACATTGGGAATTAAAGAAAAATATATACTGATACTGTTCACAGTCCCCTATTTTGTCGTGCGATCATCGAGATATAGCGCGTCTTACCGTTAATGATGGCTATTTGATTTTCAACTGTATATGAACCGAAGTAGAGCTGACACTCATGCAAGATGGCAACCCGTAACGCAAAGCACCCTCTCTCGACGATCTTATGGGAAAATGGAGGACTGTGAAAAGTGTAGTCTAAAAAATAAATAAGGGGCTAGCTATAGGGTTTACAAGTAGATGTACCTCAACTTCCTCCTGAGAGGTCAGGGTTGAGTGTGAGCCGATGACAAACAAGGTTGGAGTTTTTAGCTCTAAAAGAGGATCTTCCACTCCCTGTCAAAAATGAACAAGGTTAATGAGGTCACTTTCCATTTTTTTCAAGTACAAAGCAAGCAGACAGTGGGAAGTTTAAGATGCCACGACAGCAACGGTGGTGAAAACTTAGCGTTCTTTGAATCTCGGTGTGATTATACCAACACGCTTTATTTGTCTAATGTAAGCGAGCTCTCCTGGAGTTGAAGTCTTGAGAAAAATATCCAAGTTCAAAAAGAGAACGAAATTATAGCTGTAAGCATTTTTGCGTCGTAGTCGCGCAGTGACGGCAACGACATGTACAAAAAAGTGTGATGCACATGCAGAGTTGTTATTTTGCTGATCTAAGGCTATGCACCATATCCGATAGCTTACTCGCCGCCAGGAAAATCATACCGGATATTGTTTCTGTTCACACACAAGAACGGTTGAGGCGGCCCAATTTCTGTGACGGAGCGAAGCTGCCCCACGCCGATCTCGAAAGTGGAGCATCACTTATCGGAGAGGTTTTGTGCCACACTTTGGCGCAGTGTGAACAACTATTCGGACCGTCACGGAAATAAATAAGTAGAAGCGAGGACTGGAACCCACTGAGACGGAAGTAAATATTCTGGAATGAGGACTGGAGTTTAGTGCACCAAACCCTCCCGGCCAACCGCGCCGACGCGATGTTTCGATGTGTGTGAACGACTTGTACCGCCCCGGACCAATACTGTTCATACTATAATGTGAGCATAGCCTTAACCTATTGCTTTTTTGACGTTGTCGTTGTTGTCGTCGTCGTCGTCGTCGTCGTCGTAACATCTTGAACTCCCTAAAGAGAGTAAGCAAGTCAACAACTAACCACTCTGACTCCACTAAGACCAGTGATAGGAAATCCAAGACAGACAACAGCACAGACAGACTCCATCAGTGCAACCTGTGTGGATTTGATGAGATCGAATTAATTAAAGTTCAACCACCCTTCATTCGTGACAGAAGCACAGAACTGAAACTCTCCTTATGGACACTTGCTTACGGACAGTCAAATCACTTGGTCTCAGAGATGTGAACTTCATACAATTCTTACATCATTTGATGAGACTGAATTAAGCAAAGTTGCATAAAAACACCCTTCATTCACGACAGAAGCACACAGAGCTGAAACTCTACTTACGGACACTTCTATATTATGGACAATCAAATCGCTTGGTCTCAGAGGTGTGAACTTCATACAATTCTTACATCATTCCTATGGAGACCCCTACAGTAAGGACACTTAAATTTGTCCTTTGGGTGCCACTATCAATGCGGTGTCACTGCATTAGTTTGAAAGGAAAAAGGAGGCATTCCCAAGGGGTCAAAATGCTAGATGTGCAAGCAGCAGGTCCCAAATGAAGTCAAACTCTGACTGCTAAGGGCATCGCGCGCCTTTTTTCAGTACAATATCTGTTTGAAGAAGAAATAAATATCATTGCTTAGAACTTTTGGGGCTCTTAAGGGATCAATTGTGTTTTGTCAACCACAAGAGACAACCCTACAATAACCTTTGTTTTAAACTTTTTGTTTGGTTCTCTACTTTTCTCAGGGTACTCCGGTTTTCCCTTCTCCTCAAAAACCAACACTTGCAAATTCCAAATCGATCTGGAACGCACAAACACGTTTAAACAAGTTCTTAAGAACTCCTAAATGCTTCGACAATAAACAAATTAAATTTTGTAATGTTTTCACTCTAATTCCACCAGGGATACAAGGGTTTACATAGATTCTGAACCAAGCTAACATCTATACATGCACATCCATCACTGACAAAGAGTTTACCTGGCAAGATACCAAAGCACCAACCGACCAGCCGAGCAAAATAATGGGACGATTGGGAAAATGACTTCTTAACTGAAAAAAAAAAGGCAACATAAGAATGAAAAAAGATAATGCACAGTTCAATTTGACCTGTTACCACCCCCCAGGGTAACCCCCCAGAAAAGTCCAACCCTTTGGGATAAGGGGTGGGGAACTGTTTGGAGCGGTCCTGTACTGGGGGTAGGACAGGACACTGTCATACATGCATTACCCTTCTCTCAATAAACTATAGAAAGCGCTTACAAAAGTTCTGAAAAAGTCTCGTTTTGCTATTGTATGGAAATTACTACACTGTTCTCAGAAAGATGTACCCCACAAAAAACGTATATGAGGTCGATCTGGAGCTCCGGGGTAGGGAAATGTCTCCTTGTGCATTCCTGGGGGAGGGGAATTAACCACCAGGAGAGAAAAAAATTGGAACTCCCTGGGGGTATACCCAGGGGAGGGGGGGGGGGGTATGGTATCAGGTCAAATTGAACCATGCATAATTTTGATATACAATTCCAGTTTTGAGACAACGTTTTGAGTTCCACTTCATTCTAATTACAACAGAAAAGAAAAGCACAGTGAGAGCATTTCAGGGCTTCCTCCACTGAAAACCTCTATGTGCACAGGGGACCCAAATGCTGTATTAGCTATCTCATAAGCAGTTCCTGAGTCTGGTTTACGCCGCTGGTTTCAAATGTCCAATCTTGTCCGATACACGACAGTCACGTCTCAGGTTTCCATTACTATTAACTATCTTTGGGAGACAATCTTGAGTCTCAATTGAATGGTCAAGAGAAGGGAACAGAGTACTCATTTGACGCTACTCTTCTTTTCTAAGAAGAGTTTCAGAAACTTGAGATGTAACTGTCACATCCTTTGCATGATGCACCAGACGAAAAACAATTGGAACCAGCATGGCAAACCATCTTTGATCTGATTGGAATCCCTTCCCAAAACGACTCACATACAGACTCATAAACACAGGTAAATAATACAGCATTCAGGTTCCCTGTGCTATGTGGTAGCTTATTATAATGTACACATTATACCTCCAGCACTTTAATCCTGACAGCACCAATGATGTGATCAAGGCACTGATTGATGGATACACCACTTCCCCCATTGCTGGTGTGCATCGTGACGGGAACAACTTTGCCAAGGACAGAAAGTTGGTTATGCCAGAAGCGAGTTCGTTTGGATGATGTACCAGCACTTACACTTGTTGTGGGACCACTTGGTACAATCAGTAACAATGGAGTACCGGGGAGTTTGCGCTTTGGATAAAGAGATTAGGCCTATAATTAAGGACTGAGGGCTGATGATTTTTCTTGGATATAAGAAGCCTGTGTTTTGGCTACTTTGATAGAAAAAATAGTACACTAAATTAACTTGGAATGTTCAAATCTGAGCTATAAAATTATAATTTATACTTTCTTCAATTTCTTACCTACATGTAGTTCCAAGTAATTGACAACAAATTTGTGATCAAGTACAAGCTGTGACAGTACTTTGTACTGTGCTCAAGTAAAATAGATCACACAATTGAACTGTTTGCAAAATTGAAGGCAGTGAGAGATTTTAAGCCATTCAACATAGTAAACCTTTTCTCTTCAGCATGTTTAAAAACTCAAGTTTTGATGAAATCATGTCATGGCTTTTGTGATGCTGCTGTCACTGCTGTTTTAAACAACTTGAGAAATAAACAGAGTATTTTACAATGCCATGAGAATTAGGGAAATCCTGCATGCTTAGTTATAAGGGAAAGGTCTATACTTCAGGCCCTGTTTGTGCAAATGATGGAAAATTATGGAACAACTGAGCCCATTGTATCTCGTGATATCTGAAAGTGACTGTACATGTAGGTGTTGGTAGGTGGATCTATTTTCTTGAGTGAGGGAAGGGGAGTGTGGGGTGTTACCTGTTTATGCTGAGTCACCAGGCCATGTGCAGGGTCCCATGGTCTCTTTAATAGTAAGCTTAAGGCCTCTGAACTGGCTGCAAGTCCACGGCGCTGACTAGATGGCTGTATAAGCATGCGATCAACAAGGGTTGGAATCTGCAAATAAGCAACCATTTTTGAGCAAACTCTACACGTACATGTAGTCTACAGGGCTAAGAGTTAACTTGAGTGCTTGGTCACCACTAAGGTCAATATCGATAAATTCTAAGTTCAAAATAGCTCAAGTCAAAATAAACTGGGCTTAGAATTTCCTCTAGGCTGAGTCACCGCTTAATTTAAATTACGCCCTCCAAAAATGGATCATTAATTTATATAATAAATTTATAACTGGTGGCTTGCACCTCAAGAGGAAGCCCTCCATTCTTAATTTCAAAAAATAAGTCTATTACTGAGTTGTGTTGTCAGAGTGATTTAAGTCAATAAAACCACAATGGTGTTTAGATATATCCTGAGTGACTGGGGCAATCTAAAAAATCATAAAAAGCTTTGAATTTTGCACATTAATTAGAACTGAAATTTTACTAAATTAATGAGGAAAGAAAGGACAAAAGGGAATTACTCCAAGGAAAGACATTGTATTTTTGACACTTCCTTTGTACACTTCTGAAATCAGACACCAATCACTGGTTCAGGCAACCAAACCATGGCTTTTAGTGGCTTGGGTCACTTTTAACCCTTTAAGCCCCAGTATCCACATACAAATTCTCCAAACAGATCTCCATACATTTCCTTAAAGAATGAGTTGAGAGAATTTGATAAAAGATCAAGGCATTTTTACTTGGGTGATGGTTCTAGTAATTCTCATAACTTATCTGTTGACAATGTATGGATATTATTAGGACAAAATTGATCTTGGTCACTATTGGGACTTAAAAGGGTTAAATCGTCACTAGCAACCACAAGAACCACCTAGTTTTAATCCCTGACTTTTCTGTCTTGTCAATATTATCATGGTGAAGACTTCTGTTTTAAGGTGTTGTGTTACAGCCCCTGGAAAACTCCAAATCTCACAGTTTCCAAGAAAAATATTATCATTATTGACTTAAAAATTAGATCAGTTCTAGCTTATTTCAATCAGTAGCACTATAGGAAAGAGCAGGGAAAATAGTCAAGTGAAATTTAACTCAAGACATCTGACCGCCTTTGTATTTATCTGAGTATTAATGTGTCATGCACAAAAAGTTAATCAGCTGTGAAACAGAGGCCTGTTTCTCCAAAGATCCGCTACCTTTTTGGGTCCAGAAAGCTGTTTTATGTTTGCTGTGTTTTCATTCAAGATCAAAGTTTCAATAATTTTGAAGCTGAAACAATAAAACTATCAGTTGACAAAGCAAAATTGCCCACTTTGTGTGCTACTATTCACCAGGTCTTGACTTTAAAATTTGGCTTCAGGCCCGAAACGTTTGCGGGCCTTTCGAGAAACAGGCCCCTGATTTTTAATGTGATATCATAATGAACAATTTCAATATTTTCACCAAATTAGTTTGGCCTCAAGGAGGAAATAAATTTTAGGATCAGTTAGTATTGGTTCAGGCTCCAGGAAATGGCCCAGGACAATAATAATAATTGATTTCAACTCACTTTGGCTCGCAGAGTCTGTAGGACATCAAGATAGCAAGCCAACAAGGGAATACTTAAACCATCTAGCAATGTACTGTGGAGCCATTTCATCAAGTTTGTATCCTACAGAGGGAAGAAAGAAATGTTGGTCACACAACAGTACATTAAACAGAGGATCAAACTGCACATACTGTGTAATACCAACTCGGAATTAGGCTTCTTTGGTCCTTCGCAATAATATCTATACCTGGCATACCATGCACCTGAGCCTCATCTTGTAGAATTTTATAGATCTACAGCTGCTTTCCGACTATTAGAATGCCTGGAAAATAGGTTTAGATAAATTCTGCTGGTAAAATGGCTTATTCTGCCTGTGGGCAGTGCTCGTAAAAATAGCTTATTCTGCTCAAAATTCTGCTCAGACACCCTTATTCAGCTTGAATTCTGCTTGGTATCCAAAAAAATTTCGGCCCTTCAGGCTGTACATTAATTTGTATTTATTTTTTGCAAGTATAGAAGGGAACCTGACCTCTAAAAACTAATTAGGCATTCATTATGGGTACCAAAAATTGTCTTTCATCTTACTTTTAATGTGAGTACGTTGTAGCTATTAAATAATCAAATTAATAACAACATATTTTCCATTTTGCTTTTTATTTAGTTTTAAACTTTCCTTACAACTGTTATGCATATCATTAGTGCCACTGATTTCCTATTCTGCTCAGATTCTGCTTGAAAATGCCTTATTCTGCTGGCAGAATGCGGGCCTCAAAAATCGTTTATTCTGCTTGAAATTCTGCCCCCAGAATTTATCCAAGCCTACTGGAAAAGGCTGAATCAATTTTCAATAATTGTTCTTTAAACCTTATTAATTTGTTTATTGGGTGAAGTTTACGGTAAAAATGTACAGTGTGAGACAGGAAGGGATAGGTATTAACCAAAACAGTAGTGAGCTTGAGCAACAACGACAGCAACAGCAGTGCAAAACTTAACTGAAAAAGTGAATTTGTGCTGTTTCAAACTTCATCACTCTCACTCAAACTCTTTTACTTAATTGTCAAATGACTTTTTTCAGGAGTTGAACTCTAAAGGTCTGTATCTAAGTTCACAAAAAGAAAAAGGAAATGGATTGTTGCCTCATATTCACATCCACTATAAAATGTGAAATTAGGCATTTTCACATCGTAGTCGTGCAATGACGGCAAAGAAATGTACAACAAAGTGTGATGCACATGCAAAGTTGTTGTTTTGCCTATTGCTTTTTGTCATTCTCATTGCTGTCGTCATTGCTTGAGTTCCCTAGTAACATTATGAACATGTACTCACCCATTCTGAGTCACTTAAAATTTGCCTCATTCTTTTTGTTGCCTTATCAGTTGTAATACGTCTCATGACTGGTTCATTTGGAAGCTGCGGAACAATAATAATGTACATGTCTTAGCAGTTATTCAGGGTGCAAAGAAAGTCAGTTTTACAGCTTGCCATTCGGGCAAGCTGTAGCTAGCATGTACTAACCCAAAAGGTCATTTCAATTAGCCCGAAAAAAATTTGATGAGCAGGATTGATTACAGTTCTTCTGTTATTCAAATTTCTAAAAAAATATCACTTGCCCATCAGGCAAGTTAAAAACAGAATTCACTAGCCCGATAGCAAAATCCACTAGCCCCGGGCTATCGGACACCACTTTCTTTGCACGCTGGTTATTTGAAATTGCCAATGAATCTAGGAAAGAGCAGGAGTTAACTTCTCAAGGAGCATTGTGTGGCATGATACAGGCATCATACATGTACAACAACCACTCTCAACAAAACAAGTGGCAAGAAATTAATGATCACATTTACAGTTCTTGGACAACATGAACATCTTACAAATAAATAATATTTTCCTTACTCTCATTTCACTTCATTCATGGACAGTTCAGTCACATTCTTTCAAAGTAAGTTGTGAAGGTATTAGATCAGCTACAAACCCTTCAATTTGAAAAATTTAGTTCTCAAACAATTAAGAAATTTTGCAAAATAAAAATTACACAGTCTCTCAAGTGAGAGCTGAGCTTTCAGAAAATTGATATCCGAGGTGTCAATTTTCAAATCTAAAGGTGTGATTTTGAGTTATATCGCAAGCTAAAAAAATCAAGAATTGCATATTTCTGTCAACACCGGGAAGTATCGCAATGGATTTCTGCCCTGTGATTAATAATATTTCCAAAATAGCACTCTTAGATACCAACTTTGGCCTTCATTTTGGAATTTGAGTTCAGGTTAAGAGTGCATTTCAAATAAGCGATCTTATAAGCATGATCAATATTTTTGACTTTATAGCAGTTCGAATAACCTTAAAGCAATGTTTTTGTTATAAGCGAAGTTTTTCATAGCAATGAGCCAATCAGAAGAATGTGGCACGTATTCAAAGGTTATTAGAAAAAACTTGTAGGTCTCCAAATAACAGTCGGTCAATGGACAATGTCCGGCCAAAATGGTGACTTCACCTGCCAAAAAATTTACTCGCTAGTCCTGCTGACCAGTCATGCACACAAGAACTTTCTCTCTCTCTTGAAAAAACAGCATGATCCCCTCCTGTAAAACTTAGATTTTGTGAAGCCCTGAACTTCAAACAACTTTGTAATCTACAACATCCAGACAAGTAACATTCTATCTCAGACAAAAGGGAGACACTGAAAGTTTTTTAAACATCTTTCTGTCTCACATGATATTTACAAATGATTTATGATATCTGTTGTCAGTGATTTAAGAACTGTGATTTTGAAATCAATACTGCCCTCAAATAAATGTTACCCATGAATAATCACCACACTGGAAAACTAAAAACATAATGAATGTTGCGGTGAATACAGTTATTGTCCACCCAAGCCTTGACCTAGTTTTGTTGTGTGTGCTTACTTACACTAGAGCAGAAGGCAGGAATGATCTCTTTGGATTAAGAGTTAAGGTGTAAAGAGTAAGTACAATGTACATGTACCAAGGCTTACCCCTTCATATGTTAACCTTGACAGTCTAAGATTTGAAAGGACCTTTATGACTTTGTCGAACAGCACATTTTGTTTACTTCCCCATCCATTCCTACAAAAGATAATCATTTACTGGTAATCAATTACAGTATAAGTAATTAATCCTAAGCTATATGTTCTATGGCAAGACAACTTTCATTGTTTGCTTTAAAAAATAAGCCAAAAGGCATCAGTTGTTCAAAAAGGGCATAGTAGTGTCCACTGTATCAATATTGATATACAGTGGATAACACCATTGGTTTCCCTAAGACTTATTCCATGGGCAGTGATTGATCCAATACATAATAAAATCCAATTTTTCAACAACTTGCTTCAGTTGTAAAAAAATGTTTCCTATATTACGTTATTTTAGGGGCACAATAATTTGTTGACCTAGATGTACCCTTCTCCTTTCCATTCTTCATTTTTTTTCTCTTTTTGTGACAAACTGATCTAAATGTAATGATCATTTTACTGTACTTTATCATGTGTTTTAAACTTTTTGTGACTCAAGCTTTAATGGTTGTCTGTGATTTATTCTTGTACTATCTATAATGAAATGGGAAAAATAAAATGAGATGATATGAAAAAGAATTTGAACCTTCCCACACATGTAATAAATTTCTTGTTCTTTGTATTTGCTGTCAAGTGGCTAAAGTCTATGATATAAACTACGGTGTTTGGTCCCAAGACTGTCAAATTTGAAGGGCAAACTGGCAGAGGCCAAATTTACTACCAAGCAGGGGAGATGCAACAATGAAGCAAAGAAGCATAAGCCAACTGCGACACCAAAACTTATTTCAGCTTCTTTAGATGTTTAGGTTCAATTTTATCCTTGGTTTAGATTTAATTTTCTTTTGTTTTTGGGTATGTTAACGAATGAGAATGAGTTTGAAACAAAAGAAAATAAAATTTAAACCAAGGATAAAATTGAGCCACAACATACACGATACACGTGTGCAGAGCTCATGATTCTTAAATCCCTTGTTACAAATTTCTCAAAGATAAAACGCAAAAACTTGAGCAGACTGATGGATACCTCGGGTTAAGCAGTACTTCAATTTTCCTTCTGTCACTAGTTGTCAAGTCACACGTGTTGTAACGTAAACTCAATTTAAACTTAAGCTTATTTCAGCAGTCAATAAATATATATAATCCAGAAACTTACCTTGAAATTTGCTCTTCCCAAGTATCCGGGGTCTTTTTACTCGATACAGTACTTACATACTTCTCGCACTCAGCCATCACTGCTTTCGCCTTCGCAGTATCGTACATAATACTTGCATTACACGAAGATGCAGCCGGTTCGCACACATCAATATCATCTTCAGCCCTAGGTTGAGTCACTGACAACTTTTCAACGTCTTCTCGGGGAAGAAATAATGTTTTGACAGGGCGTACTTTAGATGCATCCGGATGTGCAGACCAGGGTTTAGCGTATGAATGATCAAGGAGAATGATATCGGCAAGATATTGAAGATCTCGTTTGATTCCTCTCTCGTTGAAGTGCGAAATGGACGACATCTTGTTCGCATGTGGATTATATTCCCAAAGGGAATAGTGGGTAATTTTTTTGCAAAACATTTCGCTTTACCTTACACTCAATCAGTTCGCCTTTCTGATATAACCGCTGAACAGAAATTCCAAAATTTATATTTGGTGAGGCGACAGTTGAAATTTCATCAATTCAATGAAGATCAATGATTATTTCAATGAAATCTATAATCTCTGGAACTTCTAAAGGTCTATCTTAATACCTTGATGTTTGTTGGACTTCTTTCATGCAATCATGACCTGGACTTTCATCTCAATGGTTTTCTGCACGCAGGACATAATCGCAACACGCGGAATATAAACCCCTATAAAGTTTCGCACTTTGGACAAACTTTGCGTGACGTAACGTGGAATTTCACGTGGCGTGTTCATAAAAGAGGAGAGTTTGGGTTTTGGAAAGATATACTGCGGTAGTACAAACCAGACAAACTTTCTCATCTCTGCTTGCAAGATCTGGAATGAATAAAGGTTAGTTCGGCCGGGGATATGTTTCCAAATATATGAGCGTAAAAAAGTGTATTCTGGAAAATGTCGGGTGAGGGGAGGCCATGGGTAGCTCTTCTTATGCGTCAAGTTATTTTTGAACGTATTTTACGTGTGTCTCAATGATAAATGTTAAAATGAGACGGAGTCTTTCCCTAAGGGCGCGGGCGATGTTAAACAGGTGAATGAAAAGGTTTTGAAGGTATTCCAATATAGTATTACCACAGGCAGCCCAGGGTCGATGTGACACATGCACAGACACATGAACGATCATGAGTGGTATGGTTGAGAGGACTGTATATTTCCAGTGATGGTGCGGATCAGCCAAAGAGTATATTTTACATCCTCATATTTTACAGTGGAAATTTTTGCAACACACCATCTTAAAATGTGATATTGGCCTTCATGTTTGACAATGAAATGAGATATTTTGCTGCCACTCCTATACATTGTATGCATTTAGCTGGTCATGCAAATTTTGTTATTTGCCCCATCTGATTGATGAAATATTTATGAAGGCATTGTTCTGTACACCCTTAATTTTTCATAAATTATTTTGAGCAAAAGAGGACAAATTATTATTTGGCAAACTGTTTTGTTATTCTATTAACTTCCTGTTGACAAGACTCCAATATTTCTCACAAACTACTGGCTGAGTGCTAGTTGGTATTCTTGCAAAGTACAGAGTTTAAGTAAAAAGGGTGACATTTTGGTGAATTTATGATTTGCGATGAGAATATTCAGTAAGTACTGTACCTTTCTTTACCTTGGGCGCTTTTACTGTTAACCACACCCAAGATATGAAGGAATCCTTTCAACTCCTTTTGTTATTTTAGCTGAACTGCTTTAAATGTAGTAGGGAGTCTGTTTCGATGATTAGAAATAGACAACCACCATTTAAACTAAAAATAATTATTAAGATATATTATCAAATTAAACTAATCCATAGTAAAGTTAATAAAATTCACTGCAAAAGGGAAGATATTTAAAATCCAAAAAACCCTGTTCCTCCTTTACGTTAGTGAGGCATCCTTTTCAAAATAAAACTATTTAAAGTTGATCTCTGGTGTATTCTTCAGTTAATGTGAAATTATTGGAATAGAACCCCGATGATGCCGGTTTTGATGCCCCATATGATAATTATAATTTTTGTACAGTACTTATAATCAACTGCCAAGTGATGAAATCCATCAAACTTGAAATGATTATTACTTTTACTATTCTTTGAAAACTAGCTTTCCTTCACCATTAATTTTATTAAGAATAATGTACAATGGTATAGACCATGATAGGTGTATAAAATTTAAATATACAAGTTTTTGTCTTTTTTAGCATGTCTTCCCTGGTTCGGATTGGATATTGGGGGTACTTTGGTGAAACTGGTCTATTTTGAACCATGCAATTCTCAACTAAACTGCGAAGGACAAGAAAAGGTTGGCCTAGAGGCCATGCAAGATTTTATAAAGTCTAATATACACTATGGTGAAAATGGAACAAGAGATGAAGTTCTAGCCATAAAAAATGTGGTATTGGGTGGAAGAGAAGGGCATCTTCATTTTATTCGATTTCCGACGGATGTGATAGAGAACTTTCTTTTACTAGCTAAGGAGTTGCATGCATCAGTATTAAATAACAAAGTGTGTGCAACTGGAGGGGGAGCCTTCAAGTTTGAAAAAGACTTCAGAGAGGTAGGAGAAATAAAAATACAGTAGGGCTCGAAAAAAATCCTGTCTAGTAGTCCAGGACAAGGAGATTGCCTTGCTGGGCAAGGGTCCAGCCGCAAGTTGTCCTCTGAAAAAAACATTAACTAAGTTAAGCAAGAAGTTGCTCTGGGCCTGCAGAATGTGAGAGCTACTTACCCAAAGGACAAGCTGGAATTATTTTTGAGCCCTGATACAATTTTTTGGATCATCACCATTTCACTGTTTTTCACATTTTCTTGAAAACCAAAGTGCAACCCTACAAATGTACCTTAAACATTAACCTGACTTTGATTGAGGGGCAACTAGATTGATTGGCAGTGATCAGGCAGTGATGCAACTTTAGCTCCCATAGATATAGCTGTAGCAGGGCTGCTTTGTATTAAAGCTCCCTCACCAGACTACCCTGAGTAATATACCATTAAACTCATCACCAATAGATGAGCTTGGGCACTGGTGCCTAAAAAGTTGGTGGAGCCACGCGATGCTTTAGCTTGAAAAAAGAGGTATCCATGGCAACCCTGTGAATGTCCCCCGCCTCCCTCCCCGGCCACCAGGCACCATCACACTGAACTAATCAGTGGAATACTAATCACCAACCAATACTTACATGTACCTGGACCTGAAGTAAATAGGGAGGAAGGGCTGGGAAAAACACAGTACAAAAATGGCAAGTAAGCAATAAGTTCATAGCGAGGAGACTTTGCGAAGAACTGCAAGCCAGCAACTACGTATTTAAGTCATGAGGTACCCCCGTTAGGGGCATCAGGTCACCCCCACTCCACCCCCAGCATAGTTGGTTAACTTTGCCTAAATTACATTTAGCCACTTTAAACTTCCACTTGATAATCCCTGGACTTATACAACTTTATAAGGGGTTTCAGGAGGGCTTATAAACAGGGCTTACATGTATATCCAGGGGAACCAGACTAAAAAATGCATTTTAAAACAAACCAGGTAGAGAAAATTGATTTAGGGGAATTTGGTGGGAGGGGGGGGGAGCATATAGCCAGATGGATATTTTTGGTTCACTGGCCCACTTGTGCTCATAAGCCCCCTGCAGCTTTGTTGGTAGAGCATTTGGATTTAGTAACTAGAAGTTCATAGGTTCGATTCCTATTGACAGTACATGGATTTTTTCACTGTCACTGACTGAAAAATCATCTTTCTCATGTATTCACCAGGCTCAAAATTCATCATCACTTCTCTATTGTTTTTTTTTCCTTTTACTTATGGCAGGTCCTAGGTGTACAGCTGGTAAAGTACGATGAGCTGGAGTGTCTCATTCATGGTATACACTTCATTAATTCCTGTTGTGTTCATGAGTTTTACTACTGGAACAATCTGCACTGTTTAGAGAAATCCGAAAAGGTTCCTTATGACTTTACCAATGATTCTTATCCCTATATTGTTGTAAACATTGGATCTGGAGTCAGTATTTTGTCAGTGGAATCTGCTGAGAAGTTCTCAAGAATAAGTGGCACAAGGTAAAAGCAATTGTGTAATAATAATAATAATAATAATAATAATGATATTGACATGAGAATGATGATGATGATGATGGTGATGATGATGATGATGATGACGGTGATAACAGGAGCTCACTTCACAAAGAGTGATTTTCAATGAGGTTCTGTAAAGCAAAAGAAAAATAAATAGATAAATGAGTATGTAAAAGTAATAACTAAAAAAAGTTGAGACCTAAAAAAGTTACTAATATAAGCTACAGGTTAAGATAGATTAAAATATTAAAAGCTGTAAAATATCTAAAATACATACGTGTAGCTTTTAATACTCTGCTTAAAAAGAAGAAGAGACTGTGCACAACATATCACCCTCAAGAAAATCGTAAATTGAGAGATTTTTTTGTGACAGCTATAAATCTAGTGCCTCCACCTTCCTACACAAAATGGTAACTAACCCCATCCCCTTTCATGATCAACCATCTTCCCACCCTTGGGAAAGTCATGAGAGGCTAAGAGCATCTTCAATTGAAAATATTCCAGAATAAGTATCAATGGAATACACTCTAGAAATCACTTATTTTGGGGTTCATTGCCTTGCAATAATTATCTAGAAATCTCCATAAAAAAAATTTCCTGCTGTATGTAGTGTTTCAAGTGGTCCAAAAAATAATTATGACACAAGAGATTTGCAACAAAACTTTTGCGTATTCTTATTCTGGAATATGACAAATTGAATGCACCTTGTGTAGAACAAAGTTTTCTGTCTAACGAAACAACACAGTGGACCTACACATCCAAAGTCCTATATATGTAGGAGATGTCAGTACCCTGAGTGGCATTGACAGGTATTTTGGGTAGAGGTGTGCTCTGCCAAGGCATTGAAACCCTGATCTTGTTTAAGACAAAGGTTGCTCATTTCACTGCCTTGTTTAAGACAACAGACCTTTCTTAATGACCCTGATTTATTTCACGTTGCATACAGAATTAAGTAATTTTTCAAACTAACATCATTGGCTTAAAAAGACACCCTGTTCTTGACGCTGTAAATAGTGAAATCTTAATACACCCTGTTGTCGATTCGAGACCCCCCAAAAAACATACTCTGTTCGGTAGCACACACGTATAGGCCAAATAATTCCCCTCCCCCCCCCCTCTACCCTAACTTCTAATTCTATTGGCCATTTTTATCATTATGTCAGAGATGTAATATTATAAATTTTTTCACCTTTGATTACGAAATTAATAATTTTTACAAAAAACCACAATTGGTTAAAAAAGCCCCCGTTTTTTGAACCTTTAAAAAATGAAAAATTAATACAACCTGTTTTCGATTCGAAACCCCCCAAAAAACAAACCCTTTTCGGTAACAAAAACCTAAAGGCCAAATAATTCCCCCCCCCCCCCCCCCCTCTACCCTAACTTCTAATTCTATTGGCCATTTTTATCATTATGTCAGAGATGTAATATTATAATATTAATATTTCTTTAAAAATATTTTATTTTCAAAATGTTTTTAGTCTGGGAGGTGGAACCTTTCTTGGCCTGTGCTGTTTGCTGACTGGATGTGAGTCATTTGAAGAAGCTCTTTCCATGGCGGAGGAGGGTGACAGCACAAAGGTTGATAAACAAGTGCGGGATATTTATGGAGGCGATTACAACAAGTTTGGCTTACCAGGAGATTTGGTGGCAAGCAGGTTAATTGACAGCTTCCTTATAAAATGAATGGCCTGGGGCGAGTGCTCTCAGCCACACAAAATAAAAAATAGCATGTGGGTCAGACTCACTAGAATTGTGGATGGTCAGAAAATGTTAAGGTTCCTGATCTTCAAGGATTTTAGTCACAAACTGTATGAAAACAAAGCTTTATAGGCTCTGTCTCAAATGACCCACATGTGCTTGTACATGTGTACTTATATCAATCTTGCCCAACCTTTCAATTTTTTTTTATAACTGGAAAATTAAAGCTGTTTGATCAGTCAGCAATGTATTTGGGACAAGGTAGATGTCAGCTTTAACCATATTAATGTTATAACACAATGTATTAATTTTACAGTCAGACCACATTAATATGGACCGCAAAGGGACAGAAATAGAAGTCTGCATTTTTTAAACAGAGGTGTCTACAATTTATTATAGACTGTGTAAGGGAGTGTCCCCTGCATTGATGTTTGGCATATTAAAGACCAAACAACTGTTTGATAATAGAGAGGTGTCTGTATAAAGATAGGCAAAGATAAGTTCCCCCTTTATAATGTACATACTTGCAGTGTTTTAGGTTAACACAAAAGTTAAAAGTTTCATGACTGATTTATCAAAACGAATGATTTTGGACAGTCTTTACCTTCTCATTTCCACAATTTGAGAAATAATAATAATAATAATAATAATAATAATAATATATATTTTTTTAAATTTAATAATAAAATAACTTTATTCATAGATTCAAAAAAATAGACTATTTACAGATTCAAGAATATGAATATTAAAATATATACCCTATGTACATTCTTCTTGTGTAGGAAATAGAATTGTCGTAAAATGACTATCTAAAAACTACTAATAACAATTATAAAAAGCATCAAAAAGTTAATAAAAAAATAAAACTATCTAAAAATAATTCAAACTGATAAAAAGTTACTACTTAAATTCTGGCTTGCGCACTTTTGCGCACTTGTAATTAATGACAATAATAGTCATAATAATAGTTTAATGGTAATTCCACAAAGTAGTTCTTATAATTATCACCATGTACCTATGCTAAAAAGTAAGCATAAAGGTGAAATTACCAACTTAACATTGGCTATTTGCCATATTGATGTAATGAGCCTGTTGTTCTGTTTTAGCCAGCCATAGATTTGGATCACATTTTTATTTTCTTGGCTCAAAAGTACAGACATTTGGCCTTTTCACAAATAATCTTTCCTCCTTGTCAACTACCTCAGTTAATATGTTTTTTTTTTTCTACATTTAGCTTTGGAAAGATGAATTGTGAGGAGAATCGATCACTGGTTAGTAACAAAGATTTAGCAAGAGCCATGTTAGTTACCATAACAAACAATATTGGTTCAATAGCAAGGATGTGTGCTGTAAACCAAGTGAGTACTGTGATTTTAAATTGTACGAGTCACTGATCCCTGCAGGGCTGTCGTACTGGCTCCAGTTATTCAAAAGGTGGATAGCGCTATCCACTGGATAAATTTCTATCCACTGGATAGCGCAATTGGATTTCCTAACACTTATCTGCTGGATAGCGATTTATCCTGTGGGTAGCGCTATCCAACGTTGAACAACCGGGGCTAGGACTTTTGTCAGGTCCTGCTGCTTGTAGGCTTATGACAACTAGTCACGTTCATCATAACGCATCCTAATCTTGGTGGTCCTGTGGCACAAAGCCACAAATGTTTGAGGTATCAGGGGCAACTGCTGATTAGCCGCCCCTACTGATTGAAACTGGACTCCTTTTGACTTGATTATAGTTTCTGTAAGTGACCAAAGCGGATCCATAATCAATGATTACCTCTAGTAATAACTAAAGGTTAGGAAGTGCGTGCTAGATCGCTCTTGCTCCAACACTGTGCTCTGCTTAAGGCCCTGTTTATATGAAGTGAACAAGCCTGGATAGCCAGCCTAGCTCGGTTCATGCCTTGTTTCTGCATAAAATTGTCATTTTGGTTTATATGAGAATGCGGGCTGTCCCGCTTGCCGAGATCCGGGTTGTTCGAGCTGAGATCTTGGCAAGTGTGCCAGCCCGCACCTTCTCATATAAAGTCTTATAGAGTCAAATAAATGGAGTAGGGAAAGGCAGGGAGCAACTCTAGGTGTGCATTTTACTAAGGTGTCCATCTTTATATAGAGTTGTCCATTAAGAGAGAGTGGACATTAAATCCCGGGGGACTACTCAACAAAGTTTTATACTGTGTATGAGGAGGCTTTGCCCTGGTGTCCAACCCCTTACCCTTTTTTATTATATAAACACCAATGAAATACCAGGTGAGCTTTTATGCGAAAACTTGATATCTTCACATGTGAAAATAACATGTTATCTTCCCATGTGAAACTATCACCGTTGCTATGGCTACATGGTAAATTGTGCCTTTCACACCAAAAACTATTCAACTGAAATGGTTTGGTATTTCATTGGCGTTTATAAATTATAATAAATAGAACATTACATGGCCGCACGGAGATACAAAATTTCTCTTCGAATGTTGAAAAAATATTTCACTTGTTCACTTCGCTCACTCGTGAAATATTTTTCAACATTCGAAGAGAAATTTCGTATCTCTGCACGGCCATGTAATATCCTCTATATATACCATTTTAAATAGAAATGATACCCCTTCGTATTCTTTACATTGACAAATGGCACCCCTGTAACATACCTACGTAATAATAATAAATCGCTGAAACAGAAAGTCACCTTGCCATTTTCGCGTAACATTTAATAAATTAAAATGGTAAGCCATAAGGCTTGTCTTTTTGAAACATTTCAATTAATGTCTTTTAAACTACTTATTTGATAGATTTTCCCGATCATTATACGTTTCAGCAAGAGAGAATGAGCTATCTCTTGGTTTCAGGGAAACTGTCCACCTACCCCTCCCCTAAGCCAACATTTTGCTCTAAGTGAGAAGTAAGTGTTAATGTTGGCTTAGGGCAGGGGTAGGTGGGCAGAATTCCCTACCCTTGAATATACATTAAGCCTGAAAAAGGTACCCCTTTGGGCGGAGCCTCCCTGTATAGGCTGTTATAGGGAGTACCCCCCTCCCCCACCGGTAGTGAATGAGATGTTAAAATCGCAATCCTCGGCAGTCTGTTTAAACCATTAGCGTACAATAAATTAATAATAGTTTTTATCCACCCTTCCTAATGTTACAACTAGTTTCATAGATTTTCTCTTATCATTTGTTTTAATTTGCAGAAAATTGGTCGTGTGGTGTTTGTGGGCAACTTCCTCCGTAAGAACACCATAGCTATGAAGTTGCTCTCATATGCAATGGATTATTGGTCTAAAGGAACCTTAAAAGCTCTGTTTTTAAAACATGAGGTATTAAGAAATAATAAATGTGTCTCTAAGAGAGAGAAATGCCAAAGGAATACTGTTAGGCTGCCATAATAATTCCCTTTTTTGTTTTTCATATTAAGGAGCTTAAGCAACGACGACTGCGACGGCAACGAGAATGGCAACATTGTTGCACGAGCATCACGCTTTTTTGTACATTACTTTACTGTTGCACGAATAGGACGTGAAGATTCTTAATTTCACGTTTTATGGACATCGACGCAAGACAAAAGTTTTTCTTCCCGTGCAAAAGGACGCAACATTGTTGGATGGTACATGTTACGTCCGTTTGCACACGCTGTTGCGTGTTGTTTGGGGGTTGCTGCGCAAGTTTGAAACTGGTCAAACTTTTGAGCAAATAACTCGCAACATTTCTTTTGTTCCTTGATCACCGACACGCATGCATGCACGTGCATCACACTTTTTGGTACATTTCCATTCTGTCACCTCACGACTATGACGTGAAAATGCCTAATTTCACGGTTTATGGAGAAAGTAAACAAGGGACGACGAATTTTTCTTTCTGGCTCTTTCTCAACTTAAGTGCGGTCCCCACGAAATAAACTCTAAGGTAAATTCGTCTACATTTGACATTCTCAGCGAATTGAATAAACGCGACAAAGTTTGAAAATATACGAATTCACTTGCCGTCGTCATCGTCGATGCTGAAGTTCCCTTTTTTGCACCCCCTCACGTAGAATGCGAGCAGTCTCTCTTTCGCTCGAAAATCTGTAAGCCAAATTATTTGAGCAGCGAAGTCGCGCGAGTTGCGAGGGCGCGAATTCGCAACTCACGCGAAAGACAGAAAAACAGCTAGTCTTACCATCTTGCAAGGTCTTGTGTTTACAATTTTGCATGCCGTTAATTTTAGGTTAATTCCATTATTATTTGGAAGTGTGAGGTTTGTCAATAGTTATCATTTTCTTTTTTATGACAGGGTTATTTTGGTGCATGTGGAGCCTTGCTGGAACTGATGACAAGAATGGAGGCGCATGAAGATGATAGAGAAGCTAGCTAGCATTTCTTATTAATGCAGTTGTAAGGGGTTATATTTTGATATAATTATTTATTAGTCAATTTTATATCTAATTCGTAAGAAAGGCGTGTCCTACAGCTGGGAGCTGGTGGATTCTCCTATTAGACTAGTGAATTCTGTGATACTTTTAGGGGAATTCAAATTACAGAAGAACTGTAAGCAATCCTGCTCATCAAAAAAAAATTTTGGGATAGTTAAAAAGACTTTTGGGCTAGTGCGTGGTAGCTACAGCTTGCCTGAATGGCAAGCTCTAAAACTGACTTTCTTTGCACCCTGCTTATTAGCCTCTTAAACTCAGTTCAAGATCAGGGTATTGTACCAGTCATAGAAAACCTGGAAAGTCAAGGAATTAATTTTAAGACTTTCTTCCTCCACACCTGGAATTCCATGGAATTGAATTATTGGTCATGGAAAGTAATGGAAAATTAGGTTACGTTTGATAGATTAATCACTCCAGATGCAAAGCAAGGACAAAGCAGGGGTCAATTTAATGAAACTATTACAAAGTGTAGCCATTGTTGCCATTGTTTTTAGACACCAAAACAATGGGCACACTGCTGGTACATTCAGATGTTTTAACAAGGACCTTTCATCAATTTATTAAAAAAAAGAACTGTAATCTGAATTCAAATATCAGTTAAAACAATATAAATTGACAGAATCAATTAAAAAATATTGTTATTATATTTGACACTATTTTTAGGTTTTGTACTTATATTTTCAATACACTCTAATGTACTTGAAACCGAGAATGTCCAGAAAAATAACAATAAAATAAACTGATTTAAATACCGTGGTAGTATAATGTAATAATTATCCAACAAAACAAGACTACATACCATGTGCAAGTTGTATTGTCACTATTACAATCAAACCGACAGAACACCAGAAATATGATAGGAATGTTTGGTTGCCAGAAAATGGCCAATCAGGAGTGAGGAAACTAACTCAGAAGCAACAGTGAACAGCATTAATTAGTTTGTGGTTTTGTGGATAGTGCGCATGTCCTGATATTTTGCTGTGATTGGACATAACACAAAAAAACAATCCTGAAATATTTCAAGTGTTTACAGTTTTGTCAGTTTGACTGTAAAACAATCCAGTTGTGAATATTAGTACTATTAATTTTTTACTTGCAGAGGTGAAATGAGGTGCACTAACAACGTGCTTAAAATCTTTCCTATCATATTATAATATAAATAAACATTTGGTTATTTAAACACCTACTGGTATTCTACAAATTGTTATTTACTGCCAGTTGTTTTAGATATGGAAATAAATTAATTAAGAGAAGCAATACCATTCAAAATCTCTATCCAGTCATGTTGCTGGTGAAAATTATCTTGTTCAATTTCAGCCAATAAGAAGAACTACCCAGATCTCGGTAGTGACTCATCATTAGTATGGAATTTCTGCACTCATTTGTTACACTTCATTTTGCGGGGAAACTAGTGGTGACATTGCAAAATGTCTGCTGTTTTCTCAGGCAACATTTTAACCAACAAAAAACTTTACGTAAAACGACAGTTGAATGTTAGAAATTTGCATCTTAATACAGGCATAGATCCATCAGACCGCGCCAATGAATCAAGATGATTGTACTACTTTATGTTATAAGTGAAGAGATTTTGGACTTCCTGGGTAAAATCCACCTGCTGATGCACTGAAGAGTTGAAATTCATGATCAAGTGGTAGTTCTACAACAAAGTCAAGACAAAGGATTCATCAGTAACAGTTGACTAAGAAATGCAGTACCAGCTTACAAAATGTTTTTATCTATCAATATGTTTGGTAATAATAATATGACAACTTGTGAGCTAGATAGATACCGTATTTTACTCGAATAAGTACCGCGGCGCTCATTAAATGTTTTACCCCCCAAAGTGGCGCTTATTCAAAAAGGGGGTGCTTATAATAATAATGTTGTTTTATTATCATTATTATTTTCTGTATTAATTAAACTAACAGAATTAACATCTTTTGATTTTGATTATATCAAGACCGAGGCGCTTAATCCAGAGCAGCACTTATTAGCTTCTTTCTCCCAAAATATGCCGCCCTTATTCACTACGGTAAATACGCTAATATGATACCCACTAGTAAACACATAAACTTGTATATTCAACAAGGAATTTCCACTGAGTTTGACGTAAGGTAACGCAATACATTAACACTGGTTTCATGAAACCAACTGAAACTACAACAAACCCTACTGTGCATATACATGTAAGAACGTATGTTTTTAGAATTTTTAGAAGTCAGCTTGAAAAGGTTCTGTAAGGTTCTTTTATGTTTAAAAACATCAGGCAGGTCCTGGTTGTTCAAACATTGGATAGCACTATCCACTGGTTAAATCGATATCCAGGGGATAAGTATTAGCGAAACTGTGTTATCCACACATCTCTGCTTAAAAAGCAAACAGTTGCAGTTTTAACTTGTGTATGTGTGTAAGTGTTAACAATCTCCTTTCTGCAATCCTCTCAAGGGGTTCCCAGAGGAGTAAATAAAAATCTCCCGATTCCAGCACTATATACTGCCATGAAATGAAATGAAGAGTCGTGGATGAGAGGACAACAGACCTGCCCTCTTACAATACATTTTAACATGTGAATAGTAGGCTCGGATGTCAGCATACGAAGGCGCCACTGGCAGCCACTCTCAGTCCATTTGTGAGCTTACTGTACCCACCAAACACATGATGTGAATGATGTGTTATAAAGGTTGTAATGAAAAGTACACCATACATCACATTTGCACCTCTTGAACATATTGTCCTCTCTAATAAGCAACCAGAATGTAGATACTGCACACAGTTATTGTAAAAACTACTTTAAACTTTCCTTTCTTTTCCTTAGAAATTGGTTATTACACTGCCAAAAACAAATTTAAGTGTATTGTAGTTTAAAAGCAATAAAAGAACAGGCTTAGCTTATATTTTACTAGGTCGATGAAATTGATATGACACAG